AAAAATAAAAAATAAAATAAATTTATATATATATATATATATATATATATATAGGTTCAAACATAACAGGTCCACTTTACCACTTGGGGAAATCCCAGAGTGAACAAACGCTGATTTTCTTTTCACTAATTCAAAGCAAGTGAGCAAACATGGATTGACCCCGATGTTATTTAATAAAGCCTTACCCATATTTGCAAATTCCTCATTCCTTCAGCACATGTGAATGCAAACCAGGAGAATGCGTTGTGTTTATATAAGAACATTATAGGATTAGGCTGTGGACAGAGGTAAAAGCTGGAAAATGACAATGTGTGTGCAATTGTCTAGAAAAGGGGCTTATTCTAATAGGGGAGTGCAAAGGAGCAATGGGTAAGGTACAGATTGTCATAGCAGAGGATGTACTTTTCACTGATCTTACAGTGGGAAGATGAATTCTGATTGGCTGCTTTGGGTGATTGTACTGTGCATGGAGCTTTTGCTATTGGCAGTACATAAGGATCATTGTGCAGGTGCAGATTGTGGCTCTGCACTCTTTGGACACGTAGGATCTCTCTGGATGACTGGAGCTGTCATTCACATACAATGGAAATGAGTAAAGTGCAGTCACTAACTATTCTACAGTGTTATGGCCATGCAGCAACTAATATCAGCTCATCATAATCAGATCTATAAACTATGATATATGCCTCATCTGAAGGGTTATTGACCTCTGTGCATAGTCATTGCACATTCCATTATTTTATTAAATAAGCCCAAGGCCACATGTAACTACTCTATAGGTGTATGATCAGTATAGTTACATTCATGTAAAAACAACTTGGCAGGTTTTGTGACTGTATCTGAATGCAGATTCTGATCAACGCCTTGAGCTGTTGCATAGCAAGTCTTCGGTGAGACACACAGTACTGTATATGACTGTACAATAAATCTGAACTCCAGGCAGATATAAAAGACACACAGCGTTGTGATCATTAATACATCAGTAAATTGATTTTGGTTAATACAAGCAGCGTAAGTACCTGGATTTGACCTGGTATCAGGCTGTAAGGGGCATGCTGATAGCAGGAGAGAGCAGCAGAGTGACAGACAGATAAGCTCATCAGTCTGCTGCTTCTCCTTCTGCTGTCCAATCACAGGCTGGGAGAGTACCTGAAGCATGCTGATAGGAGAGCATAGGGAACAAGAGATGAGCTCATCAGTCTGCTACTTCTCCTTTTACTGTCCAGTCAAAGACCTAGGGAGGGACAAGACCTGTAGGTGTTACTTAACTGTAGCAGAGAAAACAAATCAAGTCTCATGCCCTGCCATAGGAAGCTGTGCTGTGTGATACAGCTATGTAAATATCAATACTGAATGAACAGAAATCCAGATCCTCTGGCAGGTAAAGCAGTTCTCTTATATGCATTTCATGTGTGTTTTGCTGTTTGCCTGGAGTTCAGCTTTAATCCCTGAGGAATTCACTGCACTTGAGAACAATTTTGACAGATGTAATGTACAGAAGTCTTTCAGTGAAAGGAACACAGCATTCAGTTCCATAGAAGGGGGGTATATTGGATTTCCAGTTATGTGATCTCATATTTATAGGTCATTGGTGGATGAAATTGTTAGCATGGACATGAATGTGTCTTAACCTTTTCACTGCCATGGATGTAAGTACTGCGTTCGTGGCAGCAAGAAGCTGTAAACAGACTCCTGCCCTCAAGTACACATAAAACAAGCGTAAACGCATGCGTCAGGTGCATCTACGTATGCAAACAAGGAATGGGCCACACATGTTGGCCACGCTCACCAAAGTGAGAGAAATAATTCCGGGACCATTATTTATGGTTAACTCTAAATTTATGACCTGTGGAGGCTTTCAAAGCATCACCTATGGACAATTTGGGGGGGAGGGGTGGGTTGTTTCTTGCCATTTCACGAGTGCACATCATTTTTAAGCTTATGTTTGGCATCTATTTACTCAACACATCCTCAACGTTTACATTTTACCTGCAACATTGGTTCTTGTATTGTGTCTGTGTGCTCTAAAATGAATTTGATTGCATTTTTACTGAAAATTTGGGGTTAGTAAACTGTTGTGTTGATATCATGTGACAAAAAAAAATACAACTGCCACCATTTTATTCTCCAGGGTCTCTGCTTTCCAAAAATATTTATATTAAAGTCAAAAGGTTTTTTAAGGTTTTTCAAATGCTGATGAAATCACTTACAATGGATGCTGCTCCAAATGTTTAAAAGTTTTACAGGGTTATTCACAAAAGGGAGACGAGTTAGGAGAAGGCAGGAGAAGGGAACAATCTAGGACAACATCGCTGAACTGGAAAAATTATCCAATTCAACTCACTTTCCAGTTCAGCGATGTTGTCCTAGATTGTTCCCTTCTCCTGCCTTCTCCAAACTCTTCACCCTTTTGTGAACAAAACTGTAAGTTTCCTGTAGAATCAGCTGGTCCCCTGACCACTGGTCCTGATATCCTATATTAGGGTGGCTCCTTTCTCTTGCAGGGTCCTATGGAACTACCCTTGTTTGTGCTAGTTTGATCTTGTGCTGGACAGGAAGTTCAGGGAAGCAGAGCTGAGAGAGTTGGAGCTGTTTGGAAACATGATGACTGTAAGCGCTTGGGCAAAAATATAGAGAAATACTTTGCTGGGCAAAAAACACTTTGCTCGAAAAAAAACAAAACGATTGAGAGTTTAATACGTTTAATTATGCAATTTTTAGGCCTAAAATGTGCATTTTAACACGTGCAAAAAAAAATAGCAAAGACTGCTCTGGGAGCAAAAGGGTTGAAGGGATAAAAACTCTGCAAAATACAACATATTGAACACTCCAAATTGAGAAAGAATATTAAAGTGCAAAACAGAGTTTCCTCGGCATCAGCTGTTTACCTACTGTCGGGGGCAGCTGAATTTCTGACACTTTGCTGACTGATAGGGAATGAAAGATCCGGTGTGTAGGAAAGAAGAAAACATTTCAATAATGATTGGTAAATATTTCATTGGAGAGAAGAGAAGGGCTGGAAACATATCAGATCAGATGAGACTTCACAGGAAGAATCTGTTGTTTTGCTCACCATACACAGGCCTATCATTCCAATCAAAGATGAGAGCCATGGGATGGCTTGGATTGGGTTGGGTTGGATTGTGCGGTGTATGGAGCTCTCAATTGTTCTGAACTGTTGCCACTGAAAGTGAATTGTTACAGATGAAATTTACCTTTTGTGTTGCATTGACTGAACAATTTAGACAGCAGATTGTATTAAAATGCTCAGATTGAATGGTTGCATGAAAAATCAATGCACAGCGGTTTTCTACGACAGGGCTTTTTACACCAGGCTGAATGGGAGATGACGTTTAGGGAGATAATTATTATTTTTAATGGTAAACTACCCACAGTCTGGGGTAGACGTAGAACTTCTGTCAAGTTTCTGTTGCTGTCTGTGTCCTCATAAGGAAGATCTCCCTTCACTTCCTCTCTTGGCGACACAAGGACAGGAAAGGGGAAGGTGCAGGTGTCACCAAGACATCAGAACGTGTGGTACAGCATTGCCCGCGGTCCGGTGCAATCGCAAATGTACCGATATCTTGCCACACTGGACCACGGGTATTGCTGTTCTGGTGCGGATGATCACACTGCGGGCGGGAGGCATGGCTGCAGTGCCCTTGACATGAATGGCACCACCACGCCCCCTGCTGCCCCCAGATTATGCAATCCAGTGAGTTCTGGCCACTAACCATGCCGGAATGCACTGGATGTGGTATAAACCAGCCCTCAGAGCTGGCTCCGAGGATCGGATGGGTATAACTTTCTTTTTCCACTGCAGTTTTTCTTTAATGGGGTTGATTTAATAATGGCAAATAGGCTGTTCACTTTGCAGATTGAACCCCCAAAAGTATAGAAATCAGATATATTTAATGCTGAAAACAAAAACATTAATTCAAAGCTGAACTCCAGCTATAAAGATTTATATACACTTACCTTGGTCCTGTAAAAGCCTGTAAAACTCAGCAG